AGCCACCTGCAGACCACAGGAAATGTGAGCTACCACCACCATGCGACGTGCAAATCCTTCCCGAGAGCTCCCCGCCCCGAGCCTCACGACTCCCGCCATCCCTGTGGGCACCACCCCGTGGCGGCCCCCTGGCCCCCAGCACACAGCCTGCAAAACCCCTTCCCCACCCGGGAAAAGACGCATCAGGTTTTTAAGGGAGAAGCATTCTCAGAGGTAACCTCTCTCACACACCGGCTGCCCATGCACCTGGTGTGAGTCTAACGCGCTTTCCTGGCATTGGCCGCGCACCCCATGACTAACTGAGGGGATTTAAACGGAAGCCCCTCAGAGATGAGGAGACATCGTCATCCAAGGTCAATACTCAGTGAAGCACACAGCCTCTGACCTCCCAACTGCAGCTCACGGGAACCTGTGACTCGGCAGCCCTGCCAGGCGCCCTGGACAGGAAGAGGGCCCGGTCCAACACAGGGGCGCCAAGGAACAGAGCCCCGGGCCAGGCACCGCGACAGCGCCCATGGGTGGGGAGAGAGAGTCTGGGAAGGAACAACAAAGGCGGGCGGTGAGGGAGGCACTACAGAGCCACGTGTGAGCTGCGGAGCACGGCAGACAGACACCCGGCACGTCCTCTGTGAACACCCTTGGGACCGCTCAACGCCATGGGCGCGGCAGGAGACCCGGCTGGTGGGAACGGCAGGGACAGCTTGAAGGGACAGAGAAGATGCCAAAGAGGCCTCCAGGCAGCGCCCTGAGTGGGAGGAAGGAAACAGGACTGTCATCCCACAGCCAGGGAGAGAAGGCGCACGCACTGGGGCAGAGCGCCAGGACCACGAGAGGAGGACACGGCAGAAAGAAAGAGGCAGGAGAGGGGTTTCCTGGGAGACGAGCGCCGGGCCGGGACCCAGGGACGCGCAGACACAGCCAGTCGCACCCTACAGGTCACCGAATTCAAAAGGGACACCAAACACTCTGTATCTTGATTGTACCAATGCCAACAAAATCATTACATCGGTGCGTAGCTTTGTAAGATGCCACCATCAGGAGAAACTGAGTAAAGAGAACGTGGGATGTCTCCGTCTTATTTCTGACGGCTGTGCAAGAATCTACAATAATCTCAAAATAAAAAAGTTTAATTAAGGAAAAAAGGATGCAGTTCCTAGAGGTAGACTGGGGGCAGGTCCCCTGCAGTTCCCGCCACCTCCTGCCTAGTGAATATCCAAAGGGCCGGCCACCTCTGGCTCCTCCCACCAGGAACAGAATACACAGGCAGCATTTGGACGTTAAGGTACAAAAGTTCAAAAGCTAACAGTCACGTACGTATGGAATATCAGGCTTTTCAGGTGATCCCTTCCTCTTTAAAGAGGCTACTTCACCCACAGAAAGTCGTTAAAGGGTTAACCTGCCTTCCACCTGAGCTCAGATCAGGCAGGACTCATACCAGCAGAGGTCAGATCAGAAAATATTTTCTGAGTCACAGGGAGGGATGGCTCACTCGGCCACCCACTTCAGCTACTACTCACAGTCGAGTGAAGGGCATGACTGCTCAGCGGGCATTCATCAGAGACTTGTGGGCTCTGAGGAGGAAGCCAGAAGCAGGCGGGGACAGTCACGCTGGGGCCGCTCCACGCCCACAGCCTCAGTGAGTCACGGAGGGGAAGGACCACTGCACACCCTCGCAGGCTCCTGCCCAGCCATCAGGCAGCCGAAGATACCACCTGCTCCCTCCTGAGCTGAGACCCGGTTTTTCCACCAAAAGAAGGGCCATGCTGCTTTAGAAATGCTGCCGTGAGCTACAAGTGGATATCTGGGAACTCTCAGTCACAGAAGGAACAAAACTCGCCCTGCACCCCCTGCACCCCGCCCTCCCATTTGTCAATTGCGCAAAAGCCCATTTTGGAGGCTGGACACTTCCGCGTGCGGACGGCTGTGGCTGTTTGCACTTCCTCCTGCAGGTGCCCCCTCCTCAGAGAAGCCACCCACACCTCCCCCAGGGCAAACCTGGCAGCCCCACCCTCTGGGACCTCAGCTGGTCCAATATACGGGGCACTACACCTCAGGTGACCTTCTGTGTTTATAGATCACCTACCGTCCTTCGTTCATAAGTTTCTTGAGAATAAGAATACTGTCTACTGTCCTCTGCGCCCCCTGGAACACTGAGTGTAAATATCCAGGAGGTGCTTGCAGAATGAATGAATCAATGAACAAACAAGCTCAGTCATTTCAAACGTGCGGTCACATGAGTAATCTGACCTTCTGAAAAGTTAAGCTTCTAGAAGGAGCCCATTTTCTTAATGTACTCAGCATCGAGTCATCACAAAATACGAACTCTTATAAAGTACCGCCCCCTCACTTCCCATGAGAAAGCAAAATTCCTCAGCGGGGAAATGGGAGGGTAGCAGACGTTACCCGCAAAGCTTTAGGAAGGCTGCGGCTCGCTGAGCCCTTCACTAGGGCCCCTGACTGCTTGCCTGGTAGTGGGACAGACACACCAGGAACAGCTGCTGACCAGCAGGAGGAGCGCCCGGCCAGGCAGGCAGCACACCCCGCACCCTGCCAAGCGAGGTCCGGCCAGCAAGGGAAAGACGCTCTCCACTTCAGAACCGCCCACCGCTAGAAAGCCAGGTCCTGCCAGGGCCTGGACACATGAGGCCTTTCTTACAAGGGTTACAAATCTGTGGCCTTGCTCTGCCTTGAATAAAAGACAGAGATGGGGACAACGTGACCATCTCCAGATGAACTTTCATCTTTGTTTCAAGTGCCTGGGTGCTGGGTCACAGTGGATTTCTAAATTCTTCCAATACTCAAAAATACCAATTTCTAAGATGCAGAAGGGTTGTTAAACATACACTTAGCACAGTCCCCAGTCCCACTCCTGAGTATTTTCTCAAGTGACGTAAAAACCCAAGTTCACATGGAAACCTGCCCTGGGATGTTTACAGCAGCTTTATTCCTGATCCCCTCAAAACTGGAAATATCCCACAAGTCCTGCCACCCGCAGGCGAATGGACAAACGGAAAATGGAATACAACACAGGAAGAAAAAGGGGTGACTTCTCATACCCGCAACAACAGGGATGACGGACTTCCCTGGTGGTCCAGTGGCTAAGACTCCGCGCTCCCAATGCAGGGGGCCTGGGGTCCATCCCTGCTCAGGGAACTAGATCCCGCACGCCGCAACTAAAAGATCCTGCACGCGGCAATGAAGATCCCATGTGCCGCAACTAAGACCCACCACAGCCAAGTAAATAACTAAATAAATAAATATTAAAAAAAAAAAACAGGGATGAATCTCTGATAGGTTTTGCTGAGCCAAAGCAGCCAGAATCAAAAAGCTACATACTGTTGTTCCGTTTATCTGACTTTCTGGAAAAGCCAAAACCTTAGGGACAGAGAGGAGATTAGTGGCCAAGAGGCTAGAGGCGCGCTGGCGCCAAAGGGCAGCAAATGGGATGACGGGATTGCTCTGCCGCCTGACGGCGATCATCTGTCAAAACTCCTAGAACTGTGCACTACAAGTGAACTATGCTTCACGGCTACTAAGGATAAACGAATTATTACATTTTGAAAAATGCGCCGGCCAGCCAACCGGTACATGACAAGTGCAGTAAGAGGGGCGGGGGAGGTGAGGCAAGTGGATCAGCTGGAGTTCTGAAGGTTCTCCCCACTTTCAGTTTCCGTGCCCTGGGATGTCTCCCCGCCCTGCCCACTGCTCAGGCCGCCCACCGGGCCACCCGGAGCTACCCAACCGGAAAAGCCAGAGCCCGGGCTCAGCCGCGCCTCCGGGCGCAGGAAGAGCAAAAATAGAAAGCGCCGGTGCGCAGTGGCGGGCTGGAAACCCTCGGACCTCGGAGAACCGGGGAGAACCGCGGCCCGGAGCCAACATCGGCTCCCGGGCGGTCCCAGCGTCCCGACCCCGCCCCCGGCCGCGACACAGTTTCCACAAACTGACACACACGGAGCCCGCGCGAGGGGCGGGGCGCGCGGGCTTCCCCGCCGGGTCCCTGGAGGCCGGTCCCCCGCAAGCCGAGCGCGCGAAAGAGCGCCCCAAAGGCGCCGGCCCACGGCGCCCGCTGCGCTTTCCCTCCCGAAGGCGGGCTGCAGGGCCCAAGCGTGGACCCTGGGACACGAACACGCGCACCACGCCGCCACCGGGGACGAGAGGCCGGGCGCCCACCCGGCTGGGCACCCTACATTTCTGGAACCACCGGGACGCCTGTGTAAATTTCCGTTTGCCCTGTCATTTTCCAAAGGCCACTCAAAATCAGGGGACAGAATGCCTCCTCTCCAAGGGTCCGGCCAGTCCACCCACTCAAATTAGGTGACAGAACGCCTCCTCTCCAAGGGTCCTGCCAGCCCTCCCACTCAAATTAGGTGACAGAACGCCTCCTCTCCAAGGGTCCTGCCAGCCCACCCACTCATGATCAGGGCACAGAACGCCTCCGTTCCAAGGGTCCTGCCAGCCCACCCACTCAAGATCAGGGAACAGAATGCCTCCTTTCCAAAGGTCCAGCCAGTCCTGCCACTCAAGATCAGAGGGACAAAATGCCTAACTAAAACAAAACAAAAACACAAAAAACTGGAAAGAGGGAGAAAAGGGTGTCCTCAAAAATAAAACTAAGCACGTTGACAGCGCCAAGAATTAACTACCAGGAAGAAGAAACCCTACATGTCAGATCATAAAGTACGGACAGGCAAGCCCGCCGGCAGTCCAGGCCCGGGGGTACCGGGGACCCCAGCCCGGCAGAGCCAACGGCAGCCCGGCTCGGGCGCCCCTCGGAAGCGCGGGGTCCCCGCGGCCGAGTCTGCGCCCCCGGCCGGCCCCGGCTCCCCTCTGCCCACCCTGCGCGTGGAGGCTGGAAACGGCCGCGGAGAACCACGGCGGGGCGGGAAGGAGGGTCCAAAGAGGGTCTGGGGACTCGAGTCGCTCCGTTTCCCGGTGGGCCCAGCGCTCGCCGTGGGGGAAGAGGGGCGGGGGTCCGGGGGGAGGGGACGGGCGGCACTCACGTAGACCGGCAGCGGCCACGGGTAGACGGCGGGCTCAGCCCCCACGGGCGACTTGAGCCTCAGCTCCAGCTTCTCCCCCATGTCTGCGCGCGCGGCCGCCGCACCATGCTAGTCGGGCGGTTGGGGGAGGGGCGGGGCGCCGCCGGCGGGGGCGGGGCAGGCAGGCGGGCGGGCGGAGGAGGGCGGGCGGGCGGGCGGGCGGGAGGCTGAGGGGAGGGGGCCTGGCCTGCGCCTCAGCCGCCGCCGCCGCGCTCCCGTCCGGCCCCCAGCTCCCTCTTTGTGGTCACAGGCCCGGAGCCTCCAGCGCCGCCGCCATCTTGGGCCGGCGTGAGGCGAGCACAATGAGCCGGGGGCCGGGCTGAACCACTCGCGGCGCGCGCGCGGGGGGGCCCGGCGCGAAGAGGCGGCGCGCTCCCGCTGCCCCGCCCGCCGCTCCGCGCGCGCCCCCCCTCAGCCCCGCCCCGTGGGCTCGCCCGCTCTCACGCACGCACGAACGCACGCACGCACGTCCTCGGCTGCCCCCGGCCTACCCCACCGGCCCGACGTGGGGACCCGGGGAGACCCCTCGGGGCCTGCGGTGGCGGGTTCGAGTCCACCTCTTGGCGTACCGTGACCCCCCCCCCCCCCGTCATTAATGACTGTAATTCCTCATTAAATGTGACAGCCGGAATCCCTGCTTCTGTTCCCAAGAATGCCGTTTATTTAGCCTATGCTAGGCACCAGACCCTGGACGCTCAGTACTGGCAAAAAAGGAAATGCCCTGCCCTCTTGGCGCTCCCATTTTAATTGGAATAGTAGTGACAATGCTCGGGGGAGAAAGTAAAGTGTCATCAACGCTACGGGGATGGTTAATTTCATGTGCGCACTGCGCGGGGCCCCGGCAACCACAAACATCCCAGATATGGTCAGGAAGGTATCCTGACCTGGAAGGACCTGAAATCGGTCCACTTTGCGTAAAGGAGATTGTCAATGCCACGGCGTGGGTGGGCCTCGTCAATCAGTTGAAGGACGAGAGAAGAATGAGGTTCCGTAGAAAGAGGGAACTGTTCCTCCAATGGCCTTCAGACATCAGCTCTTCCCTGTGTCTCCAGCCCAGAGTCCTGCCCTGACTTGCCTGCCTCACGGTCACATGAGTCAACTCCTTAAAACAAAACTATATATGTAAAAATACTGAATATATACAAGCCTATTAATTTGTATATGTGTGTATACATATTATATATATGTGTGTACGCATGCATATATATTGAATATAAGGTATGTACATACACGTTTATATGTATATACACATATGTTTATATGTGCGTGCGTATGTAGTATATGTGTAAGTACTATATATAGTATACATAGAAACCTACATATTTGTGTGTATATATTGTATATATGTATGTATGTGTATATATAGTATATGTATTATACATGTGAACATGCTGTATATATACACACCCATATATTTATATTTGGGTGTGTATATATACAGTATATGTACACTGTATGTATGTATGTATACAGTGTATAGGTGTGTATATATGTTGTATACCTGTATGTGTATATGTTGTATAGGCATTATATGTATATATGTATATACTGTATATATACCCACTTGCGTATGTATTTATATGTATATACATGCGCATATTTACGTATAGGTGTGTATGTGTGTATATACATTGTATATATGTATGTGTATATATTTTATATATATGATATATGTATGTATATATACTGTGTATTTATATATACAGCACATATATATTTTTATGCTATATGCTTTTATATGTAGGTGTATATGTGTGTCTATATGTATGTATGTGCATGTATTGCATTTATTATATGTGTATGTATAGTATATGTATGTATACTGTATATATACACACCTAATATATCTTTGTATGTATGTATATATATGATATATATATACCTAGGTGTGTATATTGTATATGTTATATGTATGTGTACGTACTGTATATATACAACTATGCATTTTATTATATGCGTGTATGTATAGTGTATATGTATGTGTGTATTGTATGTATTATGTGTATATGTGTGTATACATACTGTATATATACAAACTATGCATTTTATATGCGTGTATATATGTATGTGTGTATTGTATATACTATATGTGTATATGTCTTATGCGTACTGCATATACACACAGCTGTATATTTTTGTATGCGTGTACATATGTACATGTGTGTGTATATACACACACACCCTATGGATTCTGTTTGTCTGGAGAACCCTCACTGATACGGACACTTATGACAATTGAGCACCTGCTCTTTGCCAGCCAGGGAGCCAAACGCTTGTCCTTTCTGTGTCTCCCTTAAGTGTCACAAGTCCCAGGAGGGAAGGTGATGCCGCTCCTACCAGTTGAGGTGCCTCAGGGTCAGAGAGGTGCACAGGGCGGGGGGCTGGAGCCCGGTGGAGCCCAGGTGGAGTTCTAGCAGCAGTACAGCCTAGCAGTCCCACTTCCCTGGGTGCCTCTCACGAAGACGCCGAGGGAGAGACGGGGTCTGAAGGAGGGGATGAGGAAGCTTCCGTGGGTCTGCAAGCCCAGACCAAGGCTGACTCGTCAAGGGTGTTAGAGGTCAGGACTCTGGTTACCCTGGGGATGGGCTTACACAGAGCCATTCCCATTCTGAAAAAGTATCCATTCTGCTCTTGTTTGTATGTTCACTCCCCTCCCCCAAATCTTTTAAAAACAGATTCTCTTGGTTGCTGGGAGCACACACGGGGAAGTTGTGTGTGAGGGGGTGTGATCCAGGGGACAGGGAGGATAAGCCCCCCACTCGTAGGGCCAGGAGTGGCTCAGCTTTCTGAGCTGAGGATGGCCCGCGAGGTCCCAGAGAGAAGGGTCCCTGCTCCGTCCCTGCTCCGTGCACCCCATTCCCAGCCTGAGAAGTCCAGAGCACCCCCCCCCACACACACACACACACCAGGGAGGAGAGCCAGTCACCCTGGCTCCCAGGCTCCGGCTCCAAGGCTCCCGGCACTAGGAGCTATTTTCAGCTTTCATGCCCTAGGACACGCCAGAGCTATTGTCTCCGGAAACTCTCTGTCTCTCACCCGCCCGCCATCCATCCCTCCCTCCTCCGCCTCTTCCCCTCCCGCTCCAGCTGTCCTGCCCTCCACCCTGCATTTCTACATAGGATGGCTCGCTTCTCCCCATGCCCACCCCCACCGTTCGATGGATGTGAAAGCAAGCCCTGGGGACTTCCCTGGAGGTCCAGTGATTAAGACTCTGAGCTTCCACTGCAAGGGGTGAGGGTTCGATCCCTGGTCAGGGAAATAAGATCCCACATGCTGCCTGGCACGGCCAAAGAAATAAATGAATAAAAAATAAAGTTATAGTGATGAAACAGCCCTAGTGGTGCAAGGATGGGACGTATAGCTCTATGGTAGAGAATAAAGGTCCAGAAACAGATAGATGAGAACTTGATATGACAGAAAGTGGGGAAATTAAGGAGTTTTCAATAAATGGCATTAGGACAATTGCATATCCATGTGGGAAAAAAGTAAATTAAAAAAAAAAAGCAAGCCGTGGTCAGGTGTGACCTTGGCCCCAGGGCCATTGGCACAAATTGTGCTGTGGGACGTTCTTCCTTAGACTCCTCCCTCCCTCCTGTGTCACTGTCACTTCCTCCAGAACCTTCCTGGACTCCCCTACACAAGCCCGGGGTGTGCCCTCACCCACCCTGGATCACCAGAATTCCAATCCCGGCCCACCCTTCCCCGCCAGGTAAAGAACTGGGCCTGGTCAATAAGACCGTAGAGGTCCTCGGCCATTGCTATTGCAGTTGGAATTGTTACTGTGTTTACACAGGGTGACCAACACCCGCCCCCAGTTTGCCCAGGACCGCTCAGGTTTGAGCGCTGGAACTCTGGGGAAACCCTCATTTCCGAGGAACCCCAGAAGGCTGGTCAGCCGATTTAGGACGGATCTTTCACTTGAGATCCCAACCCCCGAGAGCCAGAAAGGGAATCTCCCCCCTCCTTCCATGGTAACCTTCATTCATTCATCCACTCATCCCTTTATTCAACTCCTTTATTCAGCAAGTATTTAGGAAGCATCTACTACATAGCAGACACTCTTCTAGGTGCTGGGGACAGTAAACTGAGAAGGTGTGATTTGTTACATGGGGATGATGTCTCGGAGACCACTGAAGGGCAGGGGAGGTGGGAGAGGGAAGGGGCAGTTCTAAATGCAGGCGCTGACAGGATTGGGGCAGACCTTGCCCTGGGACAGGCTGGTTGCTTCAACACAGCTGTCCTCGCTCAGGGCCATCCTGCCCCCACCTCACCCAGTTCTTCGGTGATGTCTGGGGAAAATCTGTGGTTTTCACACTTGGGAGGGAGGGGCCCCTGGAATCAAATGTGTGGGGCCAGGGATGCTCCTGAACCCCACACAGTGCCCAGGAGGGACCCCCAGCAGAGGATGACCCGCCCCGAGTAACCCCAGTGCCACGGGGGAGACTCTGTACTAACATTATTCAGACCAGCTGGTGCCCCCAGATTCCTGCACAGGCAGGGACTGTATCTGGGCCACCTCTGTATCCCGAGGTGACCTAGAGTGGGGCAGCCAGGAAGGCTGAGATGAGTATCGGGGGTGAAATGACAAATCTCTGTGCTCACCCTCCCCGCCTCACCCCAGGGGCGATGGCCTCTATCTCTTCCCTGTGCAGGTAGCTTTTCCCTGAGCCATTTCTTCTTGTCAAGGTCCCTGTCGCAGATTGGATTCCCCGAAGATGACGTTGAGAGCAAGGATTGGAATGCAGGTTGTTGATATGAGACGTGCAGAGAACAGATAGAGCTGCCATAGGGTCCTGCAATTCCACTCCTGGGCATAGATCTGGAGAAAACTCTAATTCGAAAAAATGCATGCACCCCTGGGATTTCCCTGGTGGTCCAGTGGTTAAGACTCCGTGCTTCCAGTGCAGGGGGCATGGGTTCCATCTCTGGTCGGGGAACTAAGATCCCACATGCCGTGTGACAAAAAAAAAAAAAGAAAGAAAAGATACATGCACCCCAATGTTCATTGCAGCACTGTTTACAATAGCCAAGACATGGAAGCTACCTAAATGTCCACTGATGGATGAATGGATGAAGAAGATGTGGTACATATATACAATGGAATATTACTCAGCCATAAAAAGAAGGAAATAATGCTATTTGCAGCAAAGTGATGGACCTAGAGATTATCATACTAAGTGAAGTAAGTCAGACAGAGAAAGACACATATCATATAATCTCACTTATATGTGGAATCTAAAATACGACACAAA